CCAAGCAGCCCAGGACCAAAGATGAAGAGTGTGGGCATTCTGCACCCGCGATGTGCACAGCCTGCGTGCACCACCTTGCAGGCAAACTGGCTCTACCTAGTTTCAACTCGGGTTTTTCAAGGATTAACAAAACCGTTTCCTTATTAGGGGGTCACAAATGGCACTCCTTACTGCCAGAACAAGCCCCACATGTCAAGCTCCTAGACCAAAGGAGAGGACTGCTAGTGTATCACTGGGAAAAGCTACTTAATATGTGCTATGTATTTTCCCCCAACCCCAATGTCAGAGAGGTTTGATCCATTACAATTTAAAAATCAGCCAGAAGCATACTCTCAGCATGGCAAATTCAGCATAAGCAGTGAGAAAGTGGCCAAATTGTACGAACAGGATCTTGTAGGGGGAAGCACCATGCAACCCTGCTGCCAGCTCTGCTGGTAATGTAAGGAAACAGAACCGCTACCTATTCTGTCCGCAGGCTGGAACCCGGCCTCCCCTGCGTTCCAAGTGCTCTTCTGTATCCTTTCAAAAAATGTGTTTGAAATGACTATTGATTTTATCATTATATAGGGTTATATTCATCTCACAGATCCAGCTATATCCAGCTCTACCTCATGAGAATTTTGAAAAAGCAGAGCTAGAAAGAGTGGTGCACAGATATTAGCCTGACTAGTTAAAAAGACCAAAGCTGTGTTATTTTCCCTTATGTAAGACAGCTTTAAATTGACTTTGTTTCCATTCTCCAAAATGTAACTGAGGACAGCAGCAGACTCTCAGTATTTTATGCTCAATTTAACTGCTATACTGCATTAAATGACGTGCAATAATGTAACCCGAAATGCAAATGAATTCGTGTTTCATTTAAAAAAAAAACCTCTTTGCTGCCTTCTCCAAATAGAATTTTTTAATAGATTTTAATGAACTAGGAAAACCAAGCACCCCCGTATGGTGAGAAAATTTCAAGGCATGTATTAAAAGAAAAATCGTACGTTACTCATCAAAAACTAATAGATGTGACAGGAGAGAAAAAATTAAGCTATGAAGATGAAACTCAAATAATTAGCAAATATGGAAAATCATCTATTACAGTGCTTGTAAAAGACTCGGCACAGGCTAAACGAGAAAAACACGCGTTGCATATTTCAAGAGTGGAATATATTAGATTTCATTTGAAGCAAATTATTTATAAACAACCCTGAAAAATTAAAACAACGTACGCACACCCCCTGACATAAATACAGCGTTACGATCAGAACTACTGAAGGCTTTATGTTATTTCCTTCCAAGAGTGTAATGTTTTCACAGAATCACAGAATCGCTCGGTTGGAAAAGACCTCTGAGATCATCACGTCCAACCGCTCCTGTCTACCCCCTAAACCATATCCCTAAGTACCTCGTCTACCCGCTCTTTAAACACATCCAGGGATGGTGACTCCACCACCTCCCTGGGCAGCCTGTGCCAGCTTCTGACGACCCTCTCAGTAAAGAACTTCCTCCTTCTCTCTAACCTGAACCTCCCTTGGCACAGCTTGGTGCCGTTTCCCCTTGTTCTATCCCCCATCACCTGGGAGAAGAGACCAGCACCCACCTCTCTCCAAGCTCCCTTGAGGCAGTTGTAGGTGGTGATGAGGTCTCCCCTCAGCCTTCTCTTCTCCAGGCTAAACAAGCCCAGTTCCCTCAGCCGTTCCTTCTCAGGCTTGTTCTCCAGAGCCCTCCCCATCCTTGTGGCTCTTCTCTGAACACGCTCCAGAATCTCAACATCCTTCTTACAGTGAGGGGCCCAGAACTGAACACAGCACTCGAGGTGCGGCCTCACCAGTGCCAAGTACAGGGGGATGATCACCTCCTTGGACCTGCTGGTCACACTGTTTTTAATACAGGCCAAGATGGTTTTCTTACCATTCGAAAGATTTTGAGGTAATTGAATCTCAGAAAGTTCCTCATTTGGTCTTTTTCTAGATCTTAGAGTAGCCTGCAGACCTCTCTGAGCTGTATTTGCTGCCAGTCCCACAGGCATCATTCTGGCAACAAATTAGCCTAAAGATGTCCTGCAAACACTTCCATTTTCCTGGATGAAAGCCTTTCCCTGATGCAGTAGACATTTTGACAGCCATATATCACCCTAAAATAAGCAAAATACATCAAATCTACAAACACAGGGCTGTTTTCTGGTACTCTGTTATTCTGTGTTTCGAATAGCTGGCAACAATTCTGGGAATTTGGCCCTGCAACCCCAGTACCTCCCTGATCTCTCAAGACTGACTGCAGGGCACGCCGATGGACACACTGTCTAAGCACTATTGCAGTTGCACACTACAAAATTGCAGAAATGGAGCTTGCATGCAGTAAAAAAAATACCTGGGCATTTCTCTCTGCTGCGTTTGCCTTTCACTTAACATAATTAGAGACAACCGTGGCCATATGGGAAAACCACAGAACTAGGATTCGTGAACCGTTTCTATGCTGTGTAGGATCTGCTGCCACATTTGTCATGGGACTGTCAGAGCTCCTCCAGGACGAAGTAAGGTGACAAGCGCCTGCCACATATTTACTCTCTCAGCCTCTCTCCACAGAAATGTGTACAGCGTGGGAGAGAGAAGGATGGCTGCTTTGTATGCATGTTTTGGAAAGGAAGTTAACGTGGTTTGCAAAGGGCAATATTCCTGGAAAAGTCACTGAGCAGCTTGAGCCCGTCCCAGCCAAGTTCTGTCTCCCACCCAGGTGAACACTACTTCCCACAGGAAGCGTCCTGTTGTGCTAGAAAAGCCCAGCAATCAGCAGCAGTATCGATCACTAAATTTTGCTTGGTTTCTAAAATACTTTGTACTTGAAAGTGTATACCACCCTTAGCTGAGCATCACTGCCCATTAGTGGGGGGATATCACCTTCCAGGAAAGATGGATGTTGCTGCCTTGCAACCTCTATCTGCTTCACAAAACACAACATCTTTCAGTTTGGGTTCTACACCCGGTGCTCTCATCAAGGGGTCAAGCAAGACCCCTGATCTGGCTTAACTCCAAGTGTAGCACTGAAATGCCAACATCTTAGAGAAGCACTAAGACTTAACTTAAAATTGTTTGTAAAATGTTTACAGAATGAAAGGTGATACCTAAGAATTATTGCTCAGTGCATGGAAAAATGTTTGTTTTCCTACAGGATAAGGCTGTGTCAGGAAGCGGGACAGCATTAGTGAATAAGACTCTAGAAAAAGGAAATGCATACCATTACATTTATACTTTTAATAAAGGCTGAATGTGACAACTGAGAAAGGTCAGTACTCTTGAGGAAGCAGGACAGACAGACAGAGAGAGGTGGAAGTAGTTATTTTTGCATTAAGGAGACACGCTAAAATATTCATTGTCTTTATCTGCTGTCGAGAGATGTTTTTGTGTAACAAAAATACCTTTAACCTTTCAAAGACATCACACAATTGCATCCAGTTAAACTCCTATGTCCAGAAAGAAGGCATCTGTTAATTACTGTAACTTTTCTACTCCTGCCATAAAAAAAAAATCTAAAAGTTATTAATCTTTACAGTAATGCCTGATACTATTTCCTCCCACTATTATAAATACTTTAAACCCGGCATAGAAATATTCATGAGTTCTTTCATGTGGGTCCTCATCTGGTGAGACTGAAGGCACAGAACTATTTTACAAAAGGGAACTGGGATGTAAAGCTGCTCTCTGAACACAGGAGAAAATTCTCCCTGAGCAAAGGGTCAGAACAATGCCTATGCATTAGTTAAGACTCAGTTAAGCCTTAAAATAGGATTTAATTATGGATTTTATGATGCATTGGCTATGCACTGCTCTTGTCACAGTGCTGCTTTTCTTCTTTACCCTCAGCATCTTTCCAACAAAGACAGGACAATTATATTGTGACTCAAAATTTGGCAGCAGTACTAATAACCCTGATCCTGGACCAGTTGCTTTCTCCAGTTGTATGATCCAGTGTCTAAAGTATCCTTATAATTTGTACACTGTACTCACATGCATCTAACCACACACTTTGCATTTGACCCTGGTTATTCTCAATGTAATGCTCTACATTTGCATTTTTCATTATCAAATTTCCTCTCCCCCCATCCAAAATAAAGGCAAAACTAGGTGTGATTTACCTTATTACAATTTTTAGACACTTGGCAAAGAGCACTGCTTGACATACTGTCCTTATCTGGCATTCCTAAAAAAGAATACAGAAAATAAAATATATACTGTACATTCTTTAAGTAACAGTGGGGGTATTTATCAATAGAATAGGGAATTGGAGGGTTCAATACTTCGATAACATACACATAAATATATGATTTTTTAAGAGCAAAACAGATTTATTCAGACAAAAGTTTTCTCTTGTGAACACAAACAAGACAAAAAGCTAACTTGTGTAAATACTATAAACAGCTTGCTAAACAGCACTTCTCGCAACTTAATACTTGAAGCATGTATACAGGAATTATTTCTATTTTTTCATTTAACATTATCTGGATTTTAGTGCCTGGAAGTCACATGTGACACTAAGTTGCACTAACTAGCATTGCCATGCCATGCCATGCCATGCCATGCCTTTGTTTCACAAATAGAACACACTGACCACATAACATATGGGACAAAATTTGCAGGTGCAATTGCCAGTCATCAGATATTGTCCTGGTTGGCATCTAAATAATCCTCTGGCAACTGAATAAAAGTACCCTGTGCTTTACAGAAGTGACGAGAGCCAAGGCTGCCCTTGGATTCATGTCTTCAGCAACATCCCACAGTCTGAGAGGTTCTCATGAGGCAGAGACAAACCCAGACTTACACAGCGATGTACCTGAGGTCAGACAGCAGCGTGTTTACTGCAGGCTGCCTGCCCAAGCATTAGCCTTGGTTCCCAAGCAAGTTGTGCAGCCCATCCTAACTGAAAAAATAAGCCAACTAGTTGTATTTATTTTCCTAGCAGGACTCATGGCCATGTTCCATGGAATTGATGTAACGCATAGAACCAGTTCAATGTGATGTGACGTCGTTCAGTCAACAGGCCTGGGTCACTGTGCAGGTTTGTGTACAGCTCTGGGTACACTTGTACACAGCTGGGCATGCAGTGAGGCAACTTCCAAAGAATTTCCTACCACATGCAATATTAATACAGTTGTAATACTCTAATTAAACATTTAAATTCTAACACCCAAACCCAGAGGACATTCATCTTCCCCTTTCTTCTCTTTTCTCTTTTTTCTAACATCTGATGCCTGTTTTCTCATACTTACTGTCATTGTTGGAGCCAGTTTCCATAACACCATAAGGAGGAGTGAGAAGTCCAGACATATACTGTCGATATTTCTGAAAGACACCGATGGCACATTCAGTCAGCTACAGATGTACAGAGCCATGCAATGGGCAACGTGGTATTGACAGTTCTGTGTCTGCTGCCTTGTGCTTCACATGCACACGAGCAATTCGAGGCAGTCAGACACATCTTCACTCTTAACACTACGAGGCCTGCTTTCTCGACTGGAGCACACTGCCTTTATTTTATCAAAAGTTGTGCTGAAGCAGTTTCCTCCTTCATCTTCCCCAGAGCACGACTTTGAGGGTTCTCATAAACCAATGTTATACATAGTTGTGTGATTTCCCATAAAGACTGTTTTAAAGCTTGTTTTAAATTACACTACTTGGCTGTACTGAAGCTAGAAAGCGACTTCACTGTAGGGATGGAGACAAGGTTGTTAACTAAGGATTCATGAGAAACGTGTACAATCTTGGCGTCAGATTTGAAATAGACAGCATTTAGTGCGAAAAATCAGAACATTTAATTCCAACACACTGAGTCTGGGTTTCAGAAACTGCGAGGTTATGAAACAAACCAACCCACCGCCTCGTGTTATCACAGAATCACAGAATCGCTCGGTTGGAAAAGCCCTCTGAGATCATCACGTCCAACCGTTCCTGTCTACCCCCTAAACCATATCCCTAAGTACCTCATCTACCCGCTCTTTAAACACATCCAGGGATGGTGACTCCACCACCTCCCTGGACAGCCTGTTCCAGCTTCTGACGACCCTCTCAGTAAAGAACTTCCTCCTTATCTCTGACCTGAACCTCCCTTGGCACAGCTTGGTGCCGTTTCCCCTTGTTCTATCCCCCATCACCTGGGAGAAGAGACCAGCACCCACCTCTCTCCAAGCTCCCTTGAGGCAGTTGTAGGTGGTGATGAGGTCTCCCCTCAGCCTTCTCTTCTCCAGGCTAAACAAGCCCAGTTCCCTCAGCCGCTCCTCATCAGGCTTGTTCTCCAGAGCCCTCCCCATCCTTGTGGCTCTTCTCTGAACACGCTCCAGAATCTCAACATCCTTCTTCTAGTGAGGGGCCCAGAACTGAACACAGCACTCGAGGTGCGGCCTCACCAGTGCCAAGTACAGTATGTACACACACACACAAACTGAATTACCCCATGAAAATTTGGAACTGTACCAGTAATGTCTCTTGTACCGCTGTAAACTACATAATTGTCACCAATGTCGGTAACTGGTATTTTTCTTCCCTGAATGCTGGTGACATGATCAATAAGGTTCAAAGCTCTGTCTAGGGCTGAAGAAATTCACAGCTACAAAAATAACACCAAAGGAAAAAAAAAATGTCCTTTCATCTAATACAAATAATTCAATGAATACGTGACACATTTGTGTTTTCAATCATATTATATTACTGTCATGCTTAAGGGTAAACAGCGATAATTCCCTTTTGGAACTGTCAGAAAACAAGCTTGTGCAACAGGGATGCTGATGATCGGCGTAAACGAAATGTGTCACGCAGTCCTGAGGGGGTGCAGTGAGCTGAACGTGAACAGGCAGCCAGCTGAAGTTCATGGAGGTGTCAAGTAAGCACCCATAAGAACAACTGAGATCAAAAATTTCCCCCATAGTGTAATTTTAATTTAAAAGTTTTCTCCTTTGCTCTATGGAGCTGTTTGCATGTATTTAGTTTCAAAATGCTGTCTGCTGGATTTTAACGGATGCTCGAAATATCCTTTTAACATTTCTTTTTCTTGGAAATGGATATGAAAATACCATCAATTCTACCACTAAAGACTGCATGTCTTGCATTCTAAATAACAATAAAAGCTATGAAGATTACATTAATCTTAATAATCCAATCCTATTTTTAGACAAGCTATTACATCCTAAAGCTTAGTAACATGGTATTTAAATCTCACCCATAATCCAGCTGAAAACTCATAGGAGCAAAGCTATCTGATATCCCTGGTCAGCCACACAAGATACTTGCTACTTCATTTCAGGATAAAACCCTCCTATTTTCTTTCCCAAACCGTTCGCTTCCCCATACTTTGCATCCAGTCCTATGCCTGTAACTCACTGAGAAGAAGGTGAGAAGCAATTATTTGCTCAGCTCAACCAGTAAATCACACACAGAAAACAAGGGGAAAATTCATTCTGGTTGGCCAAATTACAAAAAGGAAAGCATGTCATGAGGGGTTGAAATAACATTTTATTCCAGCAGTAGATGAACCTTTTGTTCTACCTTCTACCGAATTCGGGGTTGAAATGTGGTTTAGAAATGGAAAATGGAAATGTTTCATTTGGGATATGATAAAACCAGATTTTATAGGATTTTTTCCTTTTGTTCTTTCTCACTGTTCAGATTATATTCATGTCTTTGTTCTGTTTTTCCCAAAATAGCATTTTCTCAGAAACATATTATTAGCCCACACTTAATCCACCTTGATAAGGAACTTGAACTGTAGGAAGACAGTCACTTTCTGGTCTATTGCCTACACCACGTCCACAGTCACCATACACTGCATGGCAGTTTCCCTTCTGATCAATTCTCTAATATTTTTCTTGATTATTAAATGAAACACAGAACACACCACATGATCTCCAAATGATTTAGGGACTGAGAGGAACAAAAGCACAGACTCCCAAGGACTTCAACTCCATTATCTTCCCCATGAAGATCCCCCTGTGCCATCAGCTGAGTCTACTGACGAGTCTGACACGGCAGCGTTGCCTGTGAAGGAGTTTGGGCAGCATTACCCAAAGAGGCACTAATTCAAGACATGCCCTCAGAAAGCTCAGCTGTTCAGACTCCTCCAGGGGACCT